AATCCCAGGAATGTCGAAGAGTTTCATCCTAGCACCAACTCATGCTGATTGCGAGTGGCTGCCTAGGGAATCCATCATCTTGGGAAGGATTTGGAAGGTGAGCTCATGCCAACAGCAAATGATTTTGTTTGTGCTTGATTAGAAACATCTTCTTCCGTGAGGCATGGGGTGGCACATGCAATTCATTTTTGCTATTCCAAGCGTAGATATAAATATATTTAGTTTGGAGCTACAGCAGCTATAAGTATATAAAATACCTTATTAAGCAAACTAGCAAGGAGTTAAAAAGAGCATGCTCAAATGTTACTGATGACCATGTAAATTAGTACACATTTTCTGGAGAGCAATTTGGAATATATTTTCAAACATGCACAGCTTTGACTCTGTAAATTCAATTGTAACAATTCCTTTTATGATAGCCATCAGAGATTGGCATACTTACATTGCAAAGGTGATGTTAAAATGCTACAAAACATTTTTAAGATGTGAAATTCTAAACTATTTTTACAGTACTTGTTTTAATTCTGTTTTTTAATTCAAAAAATATTAAGGAGCATCCATTAATCATGGTTTTAAAAATATGTAAAGATTGGAAAGTAAGACTCTCATCTCTGAGTGATGGCTTATAAGTAAGTTTTTTTTTCCTTCTTAATTTTCCATATGTTCCAAATTTGCTGCAATTTTTAAAAAAAGGACTCTGGCAAAAATGTAAGCCAGAATTAGACATAAATTTTATCCGTAAGGTACATGAACAATAAACCAAGTCTTACACTTTCTGTATTTCTGAGTTGAATTCAAAAGACAGAAACTTTATGATATTAAGGAGATGTCAAAGAAAATGAGTTTCAACTATTTAAAAATACCTGCTTAGAGACAATGATGGATTTACCTCCCTCATGATCTTCATACTGTATTAGCGTTTTAGGGAATTTTGTATTTGTTCTATAAAAACAGTAATTATGTCTTTTAATTATTTAGCCTGATGGCAGAAAGTATTTTATTTCTTCAACCAGGCCAGGCATAATTGCCCACAAAGCAATTTAGTAAGTTTGATAATGCATACTAATATCACCCGAAGCTTTTATTCTAATATTTCCATTAACATCTAATTTTATTTGCAACTCATTAATATTTAGTTTTGGTATATTCCCTGTGCATTTTATTTTCTTCTGTTTAGGGAAACTGTCATTCTATAACATGCCTTTGCTAATGTCTAGAGAAGAAATCTCTATCATCAGATGCCCCTGAAGAATTTGGCTCTGTGAAGACCAATCACACGTTGAGAATTGGCTTTCAGTAGCCCTGCATGAAAAATGATGTTAAATAGGCTGTGGGCAGGGAGTGCCCTCTAACTGAAGAGTTGAGTGATGGAAATTCCCTTTAGCAGTTAGTGGGCCTAATTTTCTAAATATACTTGGACAGTTTTCTTCTTAAGTCTCCCCTCCCACAGATGTGTTTCCACCGAATTAACTTCTCTTCACGTCCCTTCACCTTATTTGCTTTTCATCATTTTCTCTTACTCTTCTTTTGCTCAACCCCTGTTCTATCATAGCCTCAAGGCTTTGCTGTGAAAACTTCTTTGTTTTTAAATTTGTGAACAATTCATTTATCTAGTTTGCCAGAAAATGCTGCATTGCTATAATGACAGTATTTAGCCATAGTAAATGTGCATCTTACACTGTTCTCAATACACACCTTTTAAAGTAGCATGTTCAGATGAGAGGAACAACAGCTAATTGATAATTGGTCAAAAGGCATATTGCAGAAATGTGATTATTTGTGGCTTGTTAGATTATAGGTATAATTGGAATGTCTTAAAACTAGGAATGTCTATTTGACTTTATGTATGGCTGGGAAAATGTATTTATTTTTATGACGCAATGTACTGATAGAAAATTTCAAATGTGTAAAGTTTCATTTACTGGATTTACACATTTGCAATGATATTTTTAAATGGAAATATAACTTGTTTTGTCTTTCTCTTTATCTCACATGCCCACACACATCTTTCTCTCACATGCCCACATACCTATATACTTAGCTAAATTGTGTCCTGTAATTCTGTAGAAAGCAGAACTTGTAAGTGATGAGCTTGGATATTTAGATGAGGTGATTTCTAAGCAAAATGTTGAAGTTATAGCCTTGTTTCTTCTTGTTACCTATAGTAAAATGTGAGTAGAAGGAGATCAACTAAGAGATCTCTTAAAAAGAAACCAGGGCTTCCATATCATTTGTATGTAAAAAAGAAAAATAAACCAGGGTTTGATGATTTGAGAAATTCTCAGCCTATCCATATTGCCAAAGACACTAAAATCATGAGGTTCATTGTCAGGAAAGTGTGCTCTGGAGAGAAAGCCAAGGTTGCAGCTGAATTAATTTTTGCTAGTATGTTGGAAGGAGCAAAAGACCAAACTACTGACTCACACAGAGAGCTCTTTGAAGAGATCCAGTGTATGACTCATGGATCCCTTCAATCATCTCAGCAGAAACCAGAAATAGAGATGGACTTTTCCAGGAAGCATCTGTGTGGGACCCTCTTATCCAATGAAGTGAATCCATGTGATATACATGAGAGACCCACAAGGGTTTGAGAAATGTTTTACCAGCAGAAACACTTTCAGTTTGGACTGAAAGGGACAGAGAGAGGACAAAATGAATGAAGATTGTTGGATTCCTCAAAATTCTATAGACATAAACAGGTGGATAAAGCTACTCAGCTCCAAATACATGCCATCTTTCAAGGAAAAGGATGAATCTGAAAATAGAACTTGGAGCCCAGAGGAAGCCTCAAGACACAGAGGATTATTCCCAGGCCTGGAAACCTAATGGGGTTGTCTGGTTGCATTTTTAAATTGCGTGAGGCTGATAAATCCTTTCTTCTATTTTTTCCCCTTTGGAATGAGAACATTTATAACTGTTATCCTATGCCTGTCCCACTGTTGTATTTTAGAGACAGAAACTTGTTTTCTAGTTTACAGATCAACACATGAAGTAGATTTTCTTTTTTTTCAAATGAATTGTATTTCTGGTTTCATCCATACCTGATTTAGGTAATTTGGATGATGGGATCTGGAACTTTTTAGCTGATAGTATTTACATAAGATTTGGAACTTGAATTGATTATACAATGGATTGAGACTTTTGGAGATGTTATTATAGCATGAGGTCAATGTATCTCACATGTGGGATGGATATGAATCACTAGGGGTAAGAAAGAAGACTATGAAAGATGAATAATGATTCCCAAATACATCCACATTTTAATCCCCAGAAACTGCAAATACTACCTTACACGGAACTTTGCAGATGTGGTTAAGGATCTTGAAATGGGAGTTTTATCCTGGATTGTCCTTATGTTTAATCCCAAGTATCCTTATAGAATGGAAACAAAGGGAGGTTTGACTACAGACAAGAAATAAGAAGACCATGGGATAGAAGCAGAGTCAGAGAGAGCAGACACTATGGGAATATCAAGGAAGGAGCCATGAGCCCAGGGATGCACAGAGTGCTCTGGAAGCTGGGAAGAACAACAACAACAACAACAAAGGAAACAGATTCTCCCTATGCCTTTGGAGGAAGCATAGCCCTGCTGGCATCTTGACTTTGGTTCACTGAAACTGATTTAGGGCTTCTGGTCTTCAGAACTATAAGAACAGATTTGTATGTTGTTTTTATGGCACTAACTTTGTGGCAATTTGTTAGAGCACCCAAACAGATCCAATACAGGCAAAGGAAAGGACTTGACCTCTGAAGCTTACTCCACATCTGTCAAACGGGAGCAATAACACATTCATTCCATGGAATATTTTTTGAGAGCCTACCATGAGCCAGGCCTAAAAATTGGGAAGGTGACCAAGAACTTCCCACTTTCACGGAGCTTAAACTCTAGTGGGAAGAGATAAACAACAATGGGGGGACACACACATAATCAAGATAAATACGAATTGTGAAAAGCAACATGAAAAAAAGCAGGGGTATGACTGAGCGTAACTAGGCAAGCAGAGGGGCTTCCTTTTTTTTTTTTTAATGTAAGTATAGATTTTAATTTATTTTTAAGAATAATTTAATCTTTTAAAAACAGCTGGTTGACTGCTCAGGGCCTCAGGACTGGATGTTGGTCGAATTGAGGATTCCAGAAGTAGCGTCAGATCTGGAAGCCGTTGAAAGTTCTCGCGCAAACTCACAATAGGTGCTGGCGACAGAATTAATGCTGAAGTTGTGCTGGACGGGGGCGAGCCGGGGTACCCACCACTCGGGATGCTGCCGTTGAAATCTGGTTCCTCCTTGCTGGCTCCATGCCTGCCGGCACGGGGCATTTTCTGCCTTGAACGGGCAGAAATAGCGACTGGCTTGCTGCCAGAAGGAGGAAGTTGAGACACGGGAGCGCGGTAGATGGTCCCTCCAAAGATAGGCCGCCGAATGCTACTCTTGGCCATAGCATCGGACATGGTGGTGGGGGTCAGCTTTCGTGCTTTGCCCGGTGTATTGGGAGTCAGTCCCCGCCGCTTGCTGGGTGCTCGGGGAGCAAGCTAATTGGTTTCTTACCAGCAATTAGCAGCCCTGGCAGGCAACCCCAAAGCCGCGCGAGCGGTGGGAGGAGCGATGAGAAGCAACCCTGTCCCCATCCTCATCCCGTGCCACAGAGTGGTCCGCAGCCGCGGAGCCATGGGCAACTCCTCCGGAGGACTGGCGATGAAGGAATGGCTTCTGGTCCACGAAGACCACCGGGAGGGGAAGCCAGCCTTGGGAGGGAGCTCGGGTCGGGCAGGGGCCTGGCTCGGGACGGTGGGGCCCATCTCGGGCTCCCCGCCTGCTGGCCCCAGCTGCGTGATGCTCGAGCGACACACACACGTAACACTGCATCAGACGTAGGGTGTGGGGACGCGGCTGTATTAAAGGCGGTGACTGTTTCCTGGGGGCGGGGGGGACGGCCTTCGAAGGGTCTTAGCCGAAAGGGGCAGTGGGAAGGTCGCCAACAAACGGCTGAGCTCACAATCCCGGCCGGGGCTAGGCCGGGGCGTCCCCCTCCCCCATGGAGAGAGCCAGGCCGGAGCCGCCGCCTCAGCCGCGCCAAATGCCGCGGGTTCCTCCAGCGCGCGCGTTGCGTCCCGCGCCACCCCCACTGCCGGTCGAGGGCGCCTCCTTTTGGGCAGCGGCCGGGGAGCCCCCTCCGTCGCCGCCCACACCGGGCGTGGCCGCCATTGCGACGCTGGCTTCCTGGTGCGGGGAGGCCGCGTCGTCCGGCTTACGGTCAGCGGCGCGGCGGCTGGTGCAGGTGAACCCGGAGCAGGTGTTGCTGTTACCGCAGCCTCAGGCCGGGAACGAAGACGCCGCTGCCTCGCCCGCGCAGGCGCGACTGCTGCAGTTTAGGCCCGACCTGCTGCTCCTGCCGTCGCCGGCCGCGTCCGAGGGCGCCCCCTTCAGGCCCGAGTTGCACCCGGTGCAGCCGCGGGTGCTGCATGTCAAGGCCGAGAAGCAGGAGCAGGAGCCTGGCCTGGACCCGTCCGCGGGGCCTCAGGGGGCGGTGGAGACCGGCCCTAGAGCCTCCAGGGCGGTCAAGGTGGAAGGCCCCGGGCCCGCCCTCGACTACTTCCGAGGGAACGAGAAGGGCAAGCTGGAGGCGGAGGTCATGCGGGACGCGATGCAAGGCGGGGAAGGCAAAAGCCCGGCGGCCACCCTAGAAGGAGTCATCAAAACGGAGGAACCCGAGAGACTCCTGGAGGACTGCAGGCTCCGCGCCGAGCCCGCGTCCAATGGCCTGGTTCATGGCAGCGCGGAGGTCCTGGCCCCGCCGTCCGGTGCCTTTGGGCCGCACCAGCAAGACCTCAGGATCCCTTTGACTCTCCACACCGTTTCCCCCGGGGCCCGGATCCAGTTTCAGGGAGCTCTGCCTTCAGAGCTGATAAGATTGACCAAGGTCCCCCTGACACCAGTGCCTGTTAAAATGCAGTCCCTACTGGAGCCTTCTGTAAAAATTGAAACCAAAGATGTCCCGCTCACCGTGTTGCCCTCAGATGCAGGTATTAGACAGCAGGGGAGTCTGGTTTTGAAAACTGCGCCTGTGTTGCCAAGTCTAAACTACAACAGTAAAGCCATGGAACTGATTCTTTTCAGGGCAGAGTCTGTACAGGTGTCACTTCTGATCGACTTGTACATGTAGCAGTAAAATAGACAAACACCTTCAAGGTTCTCAAGTATTTTTTTTAAAAATCTATTTTAAGGCTCATTTAGATAGGACTAATTTTTGTACTCAAAAATAGAAGTATTCTTGCTAGACAACACAGAGCCCTCCGTTTATATGCTACAAATAAGGTTAAACATATTGTATTATAGTAGCTCAGTACTTTTTTTTTTTTTTTTNAAAAAAAAAAGGGTGGTCAACGGAGGTCGCCGGAGCAGAAAAATCTTGACCTAAGACCAGCATAACGAAAAGCAGAGGATAAAAAGTGCAGGCACAGAGAATATAATGCAATATCCAAGGAGGGAAAGGACAAAGTTTATTGCAGGAAAAATGGTCCACGTGACTCTAGGGAGAGGGGTGAACAAGATGAGCTGGAAGACAGGCAGGAGCTGGATCACGCAGGACCTTGTGGGTTGTGGTGAGGAATCCTGATATGTTCTCAGGGCAATTTGGAGCAGGAGGAGGTTTCAGGAAGGGAAGTTACATCATCACTTGCTATTGTGAGGAAATAGATTTTAAACATGGAAGTGGAGAGGCCAGGAAACTAGTTAGGAAGCTAGTTTTCCAAGTGAGAGATGATGCTGGCTTGGATGAGAATGGAGGTGGTGAGGATGAAGGATTGCTATGACCATTGTATAACATAAAATGCTTAATAAGTGGTAGCTCTCATTATGGTATGATGATGATGATGATGATGATGATAACTGTTATTATCATTATTAGCTTCTGCTGAAAAAAAAAAAACAGAGAAATGAAACTCAGTTGGGTCATAAGACCTGAGGTGACACCTGCAACAAGTGAGAGGCCCCATTCTCGTTCACCAGAAGCTACTTGGTGATGCCACTGACCACTCCTCATCCCCAATCCACTCTCCCGAACAAGTTCAAAAACCTAGAAATGGGTCACAGCCTATATCTACATACATGAATATGTGATTAGGCCACTTAGGGGTTCTGAGAAATAGTTTTTAATTTTACAAAGCTGTGGTAGGTCAGATGTATCTTTGTAGATGAGATCTAATGTAGTATTTGCATGCAAATTCTTTAAGAGATCATTGACTGGGCCCTTCTCTCTCTGTTGCTCTCTGTGTCTAACTCTGTCTCTGTCATTGTTTCTCTCATACATGTGTGCTTGCACACACACATGCACACATGTGTGCACCTGGCTACACCCACCCACACATACCTGCATATACAAATGTGCAGGCACACAGACACATGCATGTACACATATGTGTGCACAGGTACACATTCATAAATACTTGCATGCACACACATAGACATGTGCCTGCATGAATGCACAGAGAAACACATGCATGTGCACATATGCACTGGCTGCACACCCAAACACATACATGAGTGAATGCACATATACACATGCACAGAGATGCATGCAGACACACATACACTTCTCTCTGTCATTACCAGCACCTAAACAACCAAAGCCCCCATTTGTCACTTTGTCAGCCATCACTTCCTCACTGGCCACCCTGCCTCCTCTCTTGCCTTTCTGTCATCCATTCTTCACACAGATCCTCCTGAAGCCACTCAGTGACTTCCCAGTACATGTCAAATCACAGCCAAACTCTTTCCCATGACCTGCACAGCCGTGGCCTGCTTCTGCCCTCATCTGGGCTCCGTTCCCTACACTAAACTCCTCAGGCCACCCTGGCCTCTTTCAGCTCCAGATATTCTCCACCACTCTGCCTTCTGGGACATGCTGCTCACTCCTCACCCCCACCCACATCCATCAGTATTCCCACAGCTGGCTCCTGAACCAAGAATTAAAGGGGAGAGACTTCCTCAAAGTTCTTCCCTGACAAATTTATGTAAATCACCTCTTCCCTCTCACCTCCATCATTTTCTATTATTGCATCATGTTTGTGAAAGTTGATCAGACAAATTACGTCCTACCCAACTGTATTAGTCCATTCTCATGCTGCTATGAAGAAATACCCTAGACTGGTAATTTATAAAGGCAAGAAGTTTAATCGACTCACAATTCTGCAGGGCTAAGGAGGCCTCACGAATCTACAATCATGGCAGAAGAGGAAGTAAACATGTCCTTTTTCACATGGAGGCAGCAAGGAGAAGTGCCAAGCAAAGTGGGAAAAGCCCCTTATAAAACCATTAGATCTTGTAAGAACTCACTATCATGAGAACAGCATGAGGGTAACAACCCCGATGATTCAGTTACCTCCCACTAGGTTCTTCCCACAACACGTAGGGTTATGAGAAGATGAGATTTGGGTGGGGACACAGCGAAACCATATCACCAATTAAATCAATGTTGAAGAACCAGGGGGAAAAAGCACTCAGGGTAGATAGCATTGCCCCAAGAACGTAATTCTCTGCAAGCCTGGCTGCTGAAACTGCATGCTGTAACCTGAACCCAGTTTATCTGATAGCTACTGAAACGACCTGCACAACTCTGAATAGTTTTACCCACTGCAGTCACTCACCAGTCAGAGCTTTCCAGTGCCCCAGAACTCTGCTAGTACCAATGAGCTTTTTTTTTAGAGCTATATATAACATTTCTCCTTTTTATAAAACCTCCAACCTTCTCTCTGTTCTTTTTACATACAGAAGACCACCCAGTTTGTGTGTATCCCTCAAACTGCAATTCTTCCTTCCCAAATAAAACGTTTTAAATTTGGAGAGTCATCTCTTTATCTTATTTGACTTCAACAGCCTTTATCACAATTGGCAGTTATCTGTTTCTCTTTTATTGTCAGTGTTCCTTACAAAGCTGTGTTCTCCTCTAGGCACCTGCTGTCTCCCCTACTAGACGATGAGCCAAATGAAAGGTCATCACTGAATGTCTGTGTTCCCCCCAAGATTCCTGAATTGCAACCTTAACCTCCCAGTGTGGCTATATTTAGAGATGCGGCTGCTAAGGAAGTAATTAGTGTTAAATGAGGACATAAGGGTGAGGCCCTGAAATAGGATTAGTGTCCTTGTAGGAGACAGCAGAGCATTCTCCTCCCCGCCTACCCCATGCACAGAGAAGTCATGTGAGGACAGAGAGAGAAGGCTGTATTTGCAAGCCAGGTACAGCTAGAAACTCACTCCACCAGCTCTTAATCTGGAACTTTCAGCCTCCAGAACGATGGGAAAATAAGTATCTCATCTCAGCCACCCAGCCCCCGCATTTTGTTGTGCAGATCTAGCAGACCAGGCAGGGCCCCGGGTACTTGTCTGTTCACCAGCTCCTCCCCACTTCCGGCTATGGCACTCTGCACATGACAGGGATTTGGTAAATGTTTGTTACCGGAATTAGTGAATCTTCCCATTTATACTGCATTTCTACACACTTAGGAAGCGGTGAAAGCAACAGAGCTTGGAAATCAAGAAACCTGGGCTGGGCTGGGCACCGTGGCTCACGCCTGTAATCCCAGCACTTTGGGAGGCTGAGGTGGGTGGATCACAAGGTCAAGAGATCGAGACCATCCTGGCCAACATGGTGAAACCCTGTCTCTACTAAAAATACAAAAATTAGCCGGGTGTGGTGGCACGCGCCTGTGGTTTCAGCTACTCGGGAGGCTGAGGCTGAAGAATCGCTTGAACCCAGGAGGCGGAGGTTGCAGTGAGCCGAGATTACACCACTGCACTCCAGCCTGGCGACAGAGCAAGACTCTGTCTCAAAAAAAAAAAAAAAAGAAACCTGGGCTGGGTTAAAGTCCCTATCTCGTCACTGAATCCCCCTTTACTCCCTGTATTCCTTCTTCTATTTGGGCCTCAGTTCCCCAATTGGCGAGACAGTATGAGTCAACAAAATGTCCTTTCAAGTTCCCTCCAGCAATAAAATGATATAATAAAAATGGCTTTCCTCTCTGGGGCAGTGACTGTGACCCAGGCACTGTACTTGTTTCTTTTCTCATGTAATCATCACTACTGTTTAAAGACACCTTCATTAGTATTTTACAGTTGAGAAACACCAAGGCACAGTGTAGTGGCCATCAAAAAGGGAGCAGTATTGTTAGCATTAAAAACATTGTCTTTCAATCCCAGCACTTTGGGAGGCCAAGGCAGGCTCCGGAATTCAAGACCAACGTGGCAAAACCCCATCACTACAAAAATTAGCCAGGCATGGTGTCATGCACCTGTAGTCCCAGCTACTGGAGAGACTGAAGTGGGAGGATCACTTGAGCCTGGGAGGTGGAAGTTGCAGTGAGCCAAGATCGCACCTTGCCCTCCAACCTGGGCAATGAAGTGAGACTCTGTCTCAAAAAACACGCACAAAACATCCCCCTATTATCCTTTATTCTGATAGTATGTTATTCCAGCTTTAGGGGGTTGAAATTTCTCTTTTTTTATAATGGCGATATTTTAAAGGTTTTTATAGAGAGAAATGAGAATTTGCCCATCTATACCAGTCCCTAACATTTATTAGAAAATTTGACTGATGCATAAAGTCCCAGTCTTGAATGACATGAACTATGCACAGGAAAGGGGTTTCAACTATTTCAGAGTTTCTACTGCGCACTAGTCATAGCAGAGGAACACAGGGGTAACTCAACTACAGCTCCAGAGCACATTCCAAGAGGCCTGGAATCCAATCAAAGCTCTGCCTCTAGTACTCACTGAGTCACCTTAGGCAAGTGAGGTAACCCCTCTGAGCCTCAGTTTCCTCATCTGTAAAATGGGAGTAATCATAGTGCCTACCTCATGTAACACACTTCATCTAGAGCTTGGCACATAGAATAGACTCAATACATGTGAGTAGCTATTATCATTATTATTTAGGTGGGGGTAAGAGGAGTCACAGTCATCAGCCACGGACTATGAGAAGATACTTGGGGGAGCAAGGATAGGGTGATGAATTTTCATCTGGGTAGAGGTTTCATTCTGTCTCTGGAGTCTCCAACTTCTGGCCCAAAAGAGTACTAATGATCATTTCTACCAGATTATATGACCTCAGGCAAATCATTTCCCAGCTCTCTGCCTTGGTCCTCCAATCTATTAAAAAGGAAGCAGTTA